CTTAACAATGAAATAAGGATTACTAAAATACCTGCAGAGTTTAAATACAACAGGCATGGCAATTCTCTTAAATAATAATGAACTAAAAATACAGACATGTTTTCTTTTATTTTACAGAAAACTTAGGCCTTTTCTGAAGACCTACAGGGCCCCAAGAGCTCCCCACTGATGTCCTCATGATTGGTATACAAGACAATACATAGTGAAAGTACACAAAGTGAGATAAACAGGACAGGATGAAATCAAACAGCAGGTTCCATGCTTATACTATGTGATGTCTATTAAAGGACACCATGTTATGAATATCTGTGTTCTTGAGAGGAACCAGCTTTCAAGTATGTGAGGAGTGTGGTTTTCTCTTGTATCTAAAAACTGCTGAAAGTTTTTTTGCTAATTATGAATGTTCTGGTAAGAGGTTAAGTGGAGTGAGGATAATTTAGTTCTGTCTTTCTGTTTTTCGTTGTTGTAAGTGATGTTAGTACAAAGTGTTAAAGCAGTTGGAATATTTAAATTGAGGATAGATTGTTGAGTATTGTGTTTGAGGGGCAAAGTCAAATACTGAGTATCTTTTGAGGACAAAGATGTCCTTATTTTGCAGGGGAAATCATGGCTAAACTACAATATCAGGACCAACAAAATTATCCGGACTTTTATTTGCATTCTTAAAAGCAAAGCCATTTCTTTTTGGTTACTGAGGTTGCAGTTAGGGTTAGGCTTGGGTTTAGGCTTAGAACATTGGTATTACATATCCAGATAAATGGCCATTAAGTAAGTAGTTGTTCATTTTTCATCAGATATTTCTGAAGAAATGAGAAATAATATAATATATAACATTTGCAAATAAAACAAAAAAGCTGCTGGTGTTCTCAGAACAATGGACTGGACACATCAGAGCTCAGTCCTCAACATCACTGAACATGTAACAGAAAATGCAACCTTTTATGGAACTTCCACAACTAAACTTTTGAGGTGTGGAAAAATGTCCCTGCAGATTCTTTTTAAGAAAAAGACAGTAAGCCTCCTAAAAAGAACGGAAGCTGTAATAAAGGCGGAGAAAATAAAATAAATAAATAAAAGTGGACAAAAATAAATAAATTCACCTTCATGGCCATTTTGACTGGAAATGAAATAATTGACGGGTGGTCTCTGACTTTTGCACAGTGCTGCATGTCCAAAGGTTTGTACTTGTCCAAAGCTTCATCTGAAATCAAGGGTATTAGTTGGGAGTTTGTCCCTTTCCTGCAGTAACATCCTCTACTCTTCTAGGAAGGCTTTACACTGGAACATTGCTGTGAGTATTTGATTGCATTCAGCCAGAAGAGCATTAATGAGGTCAGGTGCTGATGCTGGATGATTAGTTCTGAATCACAAACGCCATTCCAACTTAAAGGTATTGGATGGAGCTCCATCACTCCAGAGAACACAGTTCCACTGCTCCACAGCCCAGTGTTGGTGGGCTTTGTACCTCTCTAGCCAACGATTGGCATTGAGCATGGTGAGCTTAGGCTCGTGTGTAGCTGCTCCAGAGCATCTCATTCTATTGGCAGTGCTTTTCTATGGTTATAATAAAAGCTGTATGCGACCAATTGAACGCCTGGGTCTGTAATGGGTGCATCTTAAAGTAGCTGAATGCACTCAAAGAAAGGGTGTCTACAAAGATTTAGACACAGTATATGTATTTCTTCACATGCAAAGTATAAAAACAAACGTGGGTGTACATGTCTCTGGACCACTCCATATGCTTTTTGTGCTCAGGCTGAGCAAAGCAGCAGCTCCAGGCTGGAAGTTTGAGCAGCCGCACAGACAGACAGAAAGGCAGACAGAGAGGAATACCAAGAAGCGAGCATCGAAGAGACAAAATGGAGAAGAGAAAAGGAAAATAGATATACTGGTATTCAGACAGACGGGTGCTGCAATAGACAGACATTTGGGCTGCCTCCTAAACTAGAGTGAAGGAAGTAGGTCACAGGCAAAGATCTGGAGAGCGCAGAGAGAGAGAGAAAACTGAGAGAGAGAGAGAAACAGAAGGAGTGAAAGAGAGAGAGTGCCAGAAGACGTTTGAGAGATGTCTCTGAGCTGGAGCAGAGTAAGAGAGGGGGGGATGGGCGGGTGCTTTTGATGCCTCTGCCTCTTCCACTCCTCTCTTCTCACTAATCTCCATTTTCATCGTTGCCTGCCAGTGACTGAGGTGTGATGCCGTATGACAGCGAGAGGTGCAGACGAGTGGCACTTGAAGGAATGCTGAGAGACAATGACTGACAGCAGCTTCTTCTAAATTACATACACATCAGACACTGTGTTATTCAAGCCGTGAGGTGTGACAGCGCTGCTCAACTTCCTGCCCCCTTTCTCTCTCACACACACACATACTTACACACATACACACATACTAAGTACTTAATAATGGGAAAAGGCCCACCTCTGTTACTATGAGCTTTGAGATGTCAGCCCATGCATGATGGAGCGGTCCCTGCGCTCCGGCTGCTGGCTAGCAATGTGTGCTAACAGGCTGTGCTCTATTTACTGATCCCCTATGCTTCTGTCAGCAATCATCCAGCCCTCTCGAGCCGTTGGAGCTGCCGCACAGCCAGCCACTGAAAAGAGCAGTGATGAGCACCACGCACAGAATAGAGTTATGAAGTAACTAAAGTTTGGAGGGAAGACCTCGCCTGAAACACCTTTTACCTCCTATCTAACTTCTGATACACACTATTGAGTTGCCAGTGTATTGGGTGCACCTACACTGTGCACCAGCGTGTCACTAAAGATTTATGGATAGGCAGGCTAAGCTGTTTCTAGGGCTTAATGAGCAATCAATCAGTTCCAACTTTGGACTGAACTTGCAAAATCTTCTCACCTGATTGGCCTTCAGTGAAGTTGTCATCTCTCTCAAAGGCCTTGCTGCACCCCTGCTTCTGCCTGTACCCATTTGCCATTTTCTCTGGTACATCCTACCACAAAGTCGTGTGGAAATATTTGAATACCCTCGCCAGTTTACATGTTTTATTAACTTCTTATGTGAAATTAAGTTGGTAATTTTAGATCATTTTTGGAGCACAATTTTTAAATAATTTGCTGAATTCAACATATTGGAAGAAAATAAAACAACATATTTAATGACTAATAAATCTGTAGTGCATTGAAAATTAAGTTATAATGAAATGAATGTTCAGAATGCATCATATTTGAAAAGTAGTCATCAATTCCTGACAAAAATATTGTAACTAGATAATTACCATTTATTATTTACAGCATAGAATAACTGAAATTCTTTGAAATATTGAATAAAACATTTAAAAATCATTTTAGTGTGTGTTGACAGAAATGTAGATATAAGGTTTTGTTCATAGATTTTGTTGTGTGTACAGTCATATGCAAACGTTTGAACACCCCTGGTAGGTGCGCCTTATAAGTTTTCAAGTCACTGCAACTGTTGCTGCACACTTTGTCAGCTGTTCTCTATCTAATCTACAATAGAAACAGACCACAATAGGACCACCCTGCTCATCATAGTACTAGGCTGGTGATCCATTCTTAGCACAGCAGTGATATTGAGTTCTTCAAGTGGAATCAAACCATTTGATGTAAAATAGAAAGCCAGTTAATTCCCCTGTAATCCAACAATTTCTATTCATATTTTAACTGTATGCTGTCCCTAAGATGTGGCCTGAAGTTGCAAAATACATCTCACACATATTCTCCTCCCTGTCTCCTTTTGTGAGCCATCAAAATTAGCCCAAACTGATCTTGAACATAATTACAGGACACTTGCTGGAGTTGTGCATGATGGACATGAAATGGGATATGGGCCGAATTAGAGGAACAACACGCTCTGCTTTCCTAAATGAGTTCAGAGTCAGTGACAGAGGAGGTGGGATGACTCACTTCAGCAGATGAATGAACGCAGCTCAGGCGTGCTGAGAGGAGGGCCGTGCATGCATAGTGCGTGCCCATCTGTAGTCAGCTGCACTCAGGGTCAACTGCTACTCTACACAAATAAAAGTGTGATTTGTTCTCCTCCCTGAACAAGGCTTTGTAATGGAAATCATGTTGTGGGCTGTGATGGGTTATACTACGCTCTTAAAATATGTTACATAATAACCTTAATGTAAACAGGCCTTCCACAAAGGCCTTCTTGTATTCTATGCACTGTATTTTAATGTACTACAGTTTGTCTAGGTTCTATGAAAAATGTGAGCATAATGTGAGCTTACCGGCAACCACGCAATAGCTTCGATTTGTTTACAGCAGTGAGCTTTTGCACTTGCAGGAAGAGTAATGTTTGGACAGCAGGTGAAGGAATGAAGTTAGCATGGTAATTTATGTTTCACAGCAGAACCGGATTGTTTTTGGAATCTCAGTTCTAGTGTAGCTCTCATTAGATATTCTCTGTTACAAAACCCTATTCTATTTCTTTTTCTCTTTGAATTCTCCCAAATTTTATATCTGGATATATATGGATTAGATAAGGTAAGAATTGTTATAGTTAGCTAGTGACATTTAAATTTACTTTCAAGAGATTATGGTTAACTGAAATGATTAGTAATCAGCATGTAATTGTTATACAATGATCATGCATTTCATGTTAGTTGAAATAATATATGTTGAGTGGTTGATATTCCCCACAGGACTGTGATGAAAAGTCAAAGTGTATCATAAGATGTGCCACCAAGTGAAACCAAGGTATCAAGTGGCTTTTGGCAGAAACTTCCCTTGACCTTACTGAAATTTGGAATGCCATTCAAGATAGCCGAAGGGATAAGGGCAAGTGCAGAGAGGAAGTCTGGGAATGACTTGCAGTTCTAGAATCAGGATGCAAGGCAAGATTGCAGTATGTCTGACACTGTATAACTATTGTCTTTCTCTTTCTCTCTTTCTGTCTAGTTGACTCCGGCACAGCCCTGTCGCGCCCACAGCGCCCCCTCTCGGCCCGGGCGGCCCACCATGGCCCGGGCACGAAGGGTTACCAGGTGAGTCGCAGCCTGTCGCAGCATTCATCCGGGCCGTGCCACTGCATGCCTGAGGACTGCGATGCTGCAATGCGTGACTACATGCACCACCCGGACCATTACCAGGGGCACAATGATCACCCCTACTACCCTCCCGGTGGGCCGCCTGAGCCTCTAGCACTGCCCCCCTCTGGAGGTGGCACCTTCCCACGCTCGCATGCACCTCAGCAACAACAGCCCTATGACTCATGCGAGGAGTGCCTGTCCTCAGCTGGCCATGGGCACGGGCACCCAAAGATGCACCGTATACCGCCCAACCTTCTGGACCAGTTTGAGAAGCAGTTGCCCTTCCATCCGGATGGTTTCCACACCCTCCAGTACCAGCGCACAGCTAGTGGGGAGCAACGCAGTGAGAGCCCCAGCCGTATTCGCCACCTGGTGAACTCTGTGCAACGCCTCTTTGCCAAGTCTCACTCACTCGAGGCACCATCAAAGCGCGAGTTCAATGGCACACGTGGAGGGGGGGACTACCGGGAGCGAGACAGAGGCCATCGCAGTGGAGGTGAGGAAGGTGGGGGTCACCACCACCCAGGCACGCACCAGTCCCGTTCAGCCCGCCGAAATAAGAGCCGGGAGCGCAGCAAGAGCGGAGACTCACGCCACGAGTCCCGGCACAGTTCACGCCACCGCAGCAAGACAGCCGGGTGGTGGAGTTCCGATGACAACCTGGACAGCGACAGCAGCTTTCTGGTACCTGGGGGCCGAGGGGGACGGGGATACCCCACGGGCCATGAGACCCTGGATGCAGCCATCCAGGAGCTCACCTTGAAAAAAACCAAAGGGCCACCTCCTGGGGAATGCATGGCTTGCTCCACTATGGCCAGGGCAGGAGATGGGGGCCACTCTCTGAAGAGGAGCACCTGGTCAGCCATGACAGTCAGTCAGGCCAGAGAAGTGTACCCTGCCTCTTCTCGAGGAGGGGGAGCAGGAACAGGAGGGGCAAGTTATGAGAAAGCCCTGGTGCCTCTAGATACCAAGCTGAAGGAGCGCAACCTCCACTACCTACAGGCAAGTTTCTGCACCATGAAAAGTTAAAAGTCAGGTTAACGTGAAATTTTAAGTTAACATTCTGTGTAGCTTTTTTTTTTTAATTTTCTTAACTTAGTTTGGTCAAAAGTTCTCCTAAATCACACTTTTAAGTTCAGTTTACTCAGAAATAAGAATGAATGTAGTCCACATTAGCTGAAATTACTTAATTTTGGTCCTCGTCCAGTGGGGGCACTGTTTGACAGGGGGAGTCACAGCCTGGGGATGGGAATTAGTAATGACTAAACTGAGGGGAGGAACTATGTAAATGTAAGCAACTTCAACTATTAAGGAGACTTTCTTAATAAGCTCAACTTAAACTGTTTTGTTGACCTAACCTAAGATGCTGTACAAAAAAGTGTGTTTTTTTAAAGACTAAACTAAGTTAAGCTATGCAGAAGGTTTCAAGTTGACCTGACTGACCTAAATTTATTAAAATGTGCAAGTATGTGCTAGAGAAAGAGGGACACTTCTCTACAACCTTTACAGTCACCTTTACAACATGCAAGCAAGTAACCTCAGCTCAGCGCTGGCTGTTTGAATATTCATGTGGAGGCCAACACACACACAGTCACACTGCCATTCTCACTGACTTGCAGATTCACTTTCCTGACAAAAAGAATTAATCTGTATTCAGAAACAGGCTCTCTGTGCTGCACTGACTGACAGCTCCTCATTGCAAAATAATACTAAAAAAAACAAACGACTTGATTATTTTTATCATCGCTTGTTTCTCTGAGGGATCGAAGTCTGATGCCTTTTCAAACCTCTTTCAGTCCTGTATGACAAAGTGACAAACAGCACCAGAGGAGACAAGACAAACAACAATGAACTTGTGGCCTTTTCACAACATAATGAGAACACACATGCTGTCTAAGCTATTCCATAGATTTGCTGGTTGGTTCTCATCCTGTTCAACTTATTACACATTTACATATGAAATAGACTCAACACACACACACAGAATCACGTGAAGAGATAAGTACACCCCATGAAAAGTTTTGACTTTTTCAATCTAATTTAGCAATAAAGATAACAAGTCTTCATTTAAACAGTGTTGATAGATAAAAAAATAATTTACTGAGTGACATTTAGAATTAACATTTTTTATCATTATTTATATAATATGAAATAAATAGTAATGCAATTTTTCATGTGAAAAAAGTAAGTACACCCCTACGTATATTACTACTTCAAACGTGTGAAATGGAAATCAGGTGCACACGATCAGGTACTAATGATTAGAACATCATTAGAGAATATATTGGAAGAACTTGTCTTATTTAAACCTCATGCATCTAAAAGTGTATGTAAAAGTGCATGCATTAGAAAAAGACTGCACAATTTGACCTGCATGGGAAATGCACCAGGAGGAAGCCTTTGCTGTCTAAAAAGAACATCGGGGCAAGACTAAAGTTTGCTAATAAATATCTAGCCAAGGACCAGGACTTCTGGAATTACATGCTATGGACAGACAAGTCAAAGATAGAGATGTTTGACCACAGTACAAGAAGCCATGACAGCATTTGATCATAAGTACCTCATACCAGTTGTGGTGATGGACATGTTATGGTTTGGGGCTGCTTTGCTGCCTCAGGGCCTGGCCAACTTGCACTCATAGAATCTAACTATGAATTCTCTTTCATACCAGAGAGGGCTTGAGGAGAATGTGAGGCCATCGGAAAAAGAAATTAAGCCAAAAAATTTAAGCTTAAGTAGCTGGCCTTCCAACAGGATAAAGATCCTAAATATACAATTAAATCTACCAAGGAATAGCTCAAAAGGGAGAAGTGGAGGCTTGTGGAATGGTCTAGTCAAAGCCCAGATCTGAAAAAGTGTGGAGGGATTTGAAATGGGCTGTATATGCAAGAAACCCATCAAACACTGTGCAGTCAAAGAATTCTGCTTGGAGGAATGTGAGAAAATGTCTTCCAGTACATGTCAATAACAGGGAATGCCTACAAAAAGTTGTTTCTGCCTAAGAGGGCAATACTAGTTACTGAGGCCAGAGTGTACTTAGTTTTTTTCAACAGACAAAAATAATATCTTAGTTATTGTTTTTTTTTGTTGTTTTTTTTTAAATAAACGATCACTATGTCAAATTTCCATTGTTTTTTTTTTCTATTCTATTATTTTTTCTTATTCTATAACTATACACTCATCTATATATACTGTTTAACTGAAGATCAAATACTGGTATGTCCACATATGTCAAAAAAGAAAACCATTTCATGGGGTGCACTTACTTCTTCACATGATTTCTTGAATAACTAAATTCACATTGTCCATATTGTAACTTTGCATTGTTCTGCTGTGATAAGGATGAACATACAACCATAACCTCAACCTAGGCAAATAAAAACTAGTAGAAGTGTAGCTGTTCTTACCCACATACCCACATCATTCGCCAAATTTTGAACACATACAAGCACAAACGTACAAACACATTCCCCCATACACATTTAGACACACTTGGATAGAGTAATGTGGCTTCCCTGAAGGCAGCCTTAATGAGCAGTGCCTAATGTCTCTAAGCCCCTTCCCCCTCTCATAACCTCCATCCTCATTACAGACAGACGCTAGTGTAGGGGTTGCGTTTCTACAGCAACGGCAGGTAACCCCCACTGCTCTTTCTCCTTTACTGCTCCATCAATGAGCTGCAGTTCCTTTCTGAACAACTGTTTTGACCTTAAATGCCTTAAACTACTAAAATATGCTGTTAAAAAAACACAAAGTATTCATTATAAAAACGAAAAAGAAAATCATGCTACACTTAGGTCGGCATTTTGTTATGCTTTAGATAGTGACATCAAATTGCATTGGAATGGACCCTTGCTGCTGACCACCGAGCAAGTGCTGGTTAGCTAATCAGCCTTTTCAGATTGGACCAGAGCAGGACATAACCCAAGAAAATACTGATGACTGTAATGTTGGTATGTTTTGAGGTTGTCTTAAACCAGAAGTGTTGACTGTGCAGCACCATACTGCTCATTCTACACAGCCTCACACAGTGAACAGCCGCAGCATCATCACACGCTGACAAAGTCAAGTTTATCCTTAGAGTCAAATGGCATGCTACAGGCTTCTAGTCAGTAACAACATTCCTGCTGTATTGTGCAGTCTTTATGCGGATAATCAAAACAGCACACCGCCTATATCTCAGCAACAGTAATGTTAGCCAAAGAAGAGACATTTTGGCTCGGTTAGCTACAAGTCAGCTTGTAAGGTCTCTTTTAAACAGATGATAGTTCAAAGCTGAATTGTTGTCTTCACCAAGGATTCTCAATCTTTTCTAACTCGCAGCCCACACAACCAATCACAAAATCTCCCATGTCCCCACTTAAAATACAACCAATTATATATCAGTTATGTACATATATATATATATATATATATATATATATATATATATATATATATATATATATATATATATATATATATAGTGCTGGATGACATGCTGAAGAAGTGAAAGTTGTGAAAGGAGTTCTGGCTCAGTTTAATAGGGTTAGATGCATATTTGCTATGTTTGGCCTCCAACTGATGATATAATTTGGCATCAAAGCTAATTTGAAAAGACCTCAGCACAGAAAAGAGCAAACAACGCAGAACAGTAGTTGCTCATTTTCAGTTCTCAGACACTTGAATCCAAAGGCCTCTACATACAGACAACAGTAAATTAAATTAAGCCCATGTATAACTGAAGATATCTTGCACACCAAATGCGATCTTTCGAATTAAAATATGCGTTGTTATTTTACGTTGTGCTCTGTTAGATTTTTACAAACTTTCACCCTCAACAAGAACTCACTGACCAATCACGGTCGTCTCTTCTGTTGGCATGACGGCAGCCAAGCTGACAAAGCAGCAACCAGAACTTTTTGACAAATGTCAGAAAAATTAGTCTCTGCCTTCTGCTTCCTCTGGGATGCACTTAGTGCCAAAAGCAGCTCAAACAGGCTCAAACTGAGTTACAGACAGACTGTATCTGAAAACTCTCATAAAGTTCCAGCTCCTGAATGAGGCAGTGAAAGTCTCCATGCTCATTCTACTTTTCCAAACTGGAAAGTTTTGTGAGGAGCAAAGGAGATCTTTGTCACCTGAAGACGTTCTGCCTGTTTATTTGGTTCGGTAGTGCCACGATAAGGTTCGATACTCACTTCCTTCATTTTGGTTCACTTGTATGTGGTCCCCCCTCAGGATTTTTCCTTCTGAAAGCCCCTGATTGTAAACATTTATCCATGATAGATGAGTATTAACAGATTAGAATGCTAAAACCATTATATAAGCAGTCTCATTCTTTTCCCTAGTTCACTACTACTAAGTATTAAGTTTCTTTCTATAAGTAAAAGTGCAATGACGAGAGGGGTATGGACAAAAACCTGCTCAACATTACTATAATTTTGGTTTAACATGAGAGTCTCAAATGGCTGCTTACTCCCAAAATATTGCACTGCATGGGTCATGAAACCAGGGATTCTACACCAAAACAGTTAGATAGGGTGTTCTGCAGCTTTTATGGGACATAAAAGGCTTTTATTTTGACAGTTAATACACTGTTTGTGTGTAGAAGCCATTATATAATGATCTATGGCAGTGATCCCAAAGATCCCTAAACTGGACCACTTACAAGTGAATCAGCCACCGTATCTCAGAGTATCTCAGAACCGAGACAACAAAGTATAAACCTAAACAAAGAATCATGCCATGCCAAAAACCAACAGGCAGTATGTCTTCAGGTGACAAAGATCTCCTTTGGTCCTCACAAAACAGGCAAACTGACATTGAGTGGGCTTCTTTACATTCTGGAAAAGTAAAAGGACCACAAAAAGTTTCACCACCTCATTAGGGGCTGGATCTTCATGACCACTTTCACATACAGCTCAGGTGTTTGTAATTCAGTTTGAGCTCCTTTTGAGCTGCTTTTGGAGATGCTAACACCATCTATGATGAAGCAGAGGACAAACAAATCCTTTTGCCAG